CGATCTCCTGCTCTCGATCTCCTGACCTCGTGATCCGCCCGTCTCGGCCTCCCAAAGTGCTGGGATTACAGGCTTGAGCCACCGCGCCCGGCCATCTTCTAACAGTATTTTCGTAACAATTCATCAACTGTTCTTTATCTCCCCATCCCTCCCACCTTTCCCAGCCTCTGGTAACCATCTTTCTACTCTCTGCCTCCATGAGATCAAGTTTTTTAGTTTTCACATATGAATAAGAATACGTAATATTTGTCTTTCTGTGCCTGGCTTATTTCACGTAAGATAATGACCTCCAGGCTCGCCCATGTTCCTGCAAATGACAGCATCTCTTTGTTTTTTATGGCTGCATTACTACTCAGACTTATTTGGCGACAGTGCTGGGGCACTCAAGGTAGCACCTTGTAGTTAAGATTATTCCCAGGACTTTATAAATGAACCACATGAGAAGATTCAGTGTAAAGAAAATAACTTAACAGTGTGGACCAGAGACTGAACACAGTCCTATGCATCTAGGAAAGCATGAAGTATGTGTTTGGGTAGCACAGAGAAATTCTGGCCATATGGGCTGTGTTTACAATAATGCCTTTCACTCTTTTCTTACAGATAATAACAGACTTTGATATGACACTCAGTAGATTTTCATACAAAGGGAAAAGATGCCCAACATGTCATAGTAAGTATGGTATTTGTAAACAAATTCACAAAAGCATGTCATCATTATTTTAAGATCCTCTTTATCTATATTACCTGTGAGATAACTGGGTTTTTAAAATTATTTATGGACATTGACAGTGAGGAGACCTGCTTTTTCTTATTATATTTTTGAGGGTTTTTTTCCCCTGTATTATATAAATGGCTATTTTCATGTATGGTTTTGGTAGCAAAGGGAATCGGAGACTCCTGAAATATTTCTTGCCAAATATGGTCTATTCATTATTCAAGAAATATTTAAATAGGTTGTAAACTTTGGGTTAACCTGAAGAAGCGGCATTTATCAAATACTCTGTTTTCTAGGAATTTTACCAAATTTTAATATCTTTTTTGTTTTCCAACTTGGCTGTGAGTTTTTAAAATAACACTCTTCAACCTGACAGGAAAACGGTGAAATGAACTCTCTCATTTGTTTTTAGTACATGTGTAAATTGAAAAATTATTCTGGGGCCGGGTACAATGGCTCATGGCTGTAATCTCAACATTTTGGGAGGCTGAGGTGGGCAGATCATTTGCAGTCAGGAGTTCGAGACCAGCGTGGCCAAAATGATGAATCCCTGTCTCTAGTAAAAATACAAAAATTAGCTGGGCGTGGTGGCGGGCACCTGTAATCCCAGCTACTCAAAAGGCTGAGGCAAGAGAATCTCTTGAACCCGGGAGGTGGAGGTTGCAGTGAGCCAAGATTACACCACTGCACTCCAGCCTGTGCAACAGAGTGAAACTTCATCTTGAAAAAAAAAAAAAGAAAGAAAGAAAAAAAAATTATTTTGATAATTTTTATTTAAAATAATGCTAAAAATCACCAGGCACAGTGGCTCACGCCTGTAATCCCAGCACTTTAGGAGGTGGAGGTGGGATAATCACTTGAGCCCAGGAGTTTGAGACCAGCCTGAGCAATGTAATGATAAGACCTTTTCTTACAAAAAAATAAAAAATCAGCTGGGCATTGTGGCGTGCCTGTGGTCCCAGATACTCACTTGGGAGGCTGAGAGGATCCTTGAGCCTGGGAGGGCGAGTCTGTAGTGAGCCGTAATCACACCACTGCACTCCAGCCTGGATGACAAAACAAGACCCTGTCTCGGAAAAAAAAAAAAAAAAAGACACTAAAAATATTTATATCCTTTGCCCTATTAAGTCCTCTTTAGAGAATTTGTAAGTAATCCCAAATGCAGTTTTTAAAAAAGCTTTATTCACAAAAATAATGGTGGCTCAGCTCAACATAAAATTATTACTAATAGCAGATGCTTGGAAGCAACCTAAAAAGGTTAATGCTGCAGAAATGATATAAATTATTTTCTGCTCACATACCAGAAATTTTAATTACATGGAAAAATGCAGACTACAATGTGAAATGAAAAAGAAAATTCAAAATTACAGATTTAGTATCATCTCTTATCTAATTGATATACATGAAATCTTAAGACTGAAAGGAAATATACTAAAATATTGTTCACTACTTACTATTGAATGGTAAAACTTTTATCTTTTTATTAAGAAAAAAATGTATTTCCCATATGTGTTTCTTCTATTTAATTACAAAGGAGAAAATGGAAGTGATCAATACACAGTTCATAGTGTTTGAAGATATTGAATTGTCTATCTCAGTGGTGTAAGCGAGCAGTCACTAAATCTCAGATTTTAAACCATTAGCTTCCCTAACAGTGTCATGTGAATTATACCACTGAGACCAAAAGTTATAATAACCATGCTAGTTGACTTGGCATTACTTAAAAGTATTGGGTTGCTACAAAAGTAATTGAGTTTTTTGCCATTACTTTATAGCAAATGATTCATAGTAGTGGTAGCATCAATCAGAGTATTTCTTTTAATGCTTACTTTGCTTTCTATCTTTAGATATCATTGACAACTGTAAGCTGGTTACAGATGAATGTAGAAAAAAGGTAAACACTAACAATGATCCATAGTCACTCGAAGACTTCATTACCCTTTTTGCCTGAGAATTTCTTCAGGTGCATTCACACAAGTAAGAATGGATGTAAAGTGCTTACAGCCATACCTGGCACATAGTAAGCATGCAGTAAATAGTAGGTTTGCTGTATGAATTACACATTCAAAACATATTTTAGAGATAAAAATTCACAGTAACTTTTAACAACAAAACTTATATTTAAAACTCTTAAATGATCACCAAAGTATTCTGGTGTTGCAACGTTAACTGGAGATTTAAAACAAAAGTACTTTGGTTTTCTGTAGGTTTTGCTCCTTTAAGTTGATGAGGAAGTTGCTTCAGTACTTTGCTTGAGTATGTATCTGTGTATATCTTAACAAAATGCAATTTGAAATGTGAATCAAATTTAATACCTTTATATGAAAACTGAAGTGTTTTTTGTACTGATAATTTTACTGTTGGTTTTTTACTCACCTGAAAGTACTTTACAAAAGAAAGGTAGCTTTTTGCAGGTGTATGTGATTACATGTCAACTAAGATCAACAAATATTTTTTCAATTGATGCATTAGCTCAACTTATAAAGCAGTTTATTGAAAATACTTGCTTACATTGTTTTGCTTTCTAAAGCCAAGCAGATATATCTTCATGTAATCTTCATGATTAAATTATTCATATCTTCCTAGTTATTGCAACTAAAGGAAAAATATTACGCTATTGAAGTTGATCCTGTTCTTACTGTAGAAGAGAAGTACCCTTATATGGTGGAATGGTAAGTGTATATTAGGCAGTAGGAGGACTTAAAAAAATAATAAAACAACACTGCAGTTACAACGGATGGCTTATTTTTTATCTGTAGTGCAAACAAACAGATTAATAAATTATGCAAGTTAGAACATTGAATAACAAAATTAGCTCTAATTATCTAATCTCTCTAACAGTTTAGGATTCCTTTTGTTTTACTTAGTTAAGGTGAAGTCCAGTAGAAATAAAAGTCCTGCATTTAAGTCTCAAATTAAAAACAAGAATTTTTTTTTAAGTATATGGACAAGATGTGGCTTAATGTGTAAAGAAAAGGTATGAGGATTTAAACTGACTCTGAACTCAATTAGAGCCAGCTGGTGATATGGTTACCAAAAAATCAACCTTTGGTTGCATTAATCAAAATGCAGTGTTCCAAGCAGATCACACTGAAAGCATTGTGTTGGGTTCTGGAAGAATGCTGTTAAAAAAAACCATGACAATAGGGACCAAAAAAAAAAAAATAGATCATAAACTTAAAGGAGTCAGAGTAGTCCACCAGAATAATCAGAGGAATTTGGGCCTTCCCACTTGAGGAACATTTCAAGGAATAGAAAATGCTTTGATTTGAGAAGCAACAACTTGTTTTAAAATCTTAGGAGACCAGGAATGATTTGTCTTTATTGTCCCATTACCTAACAGTTGAACGCTTCATCTGTATTTATGGTATTAAATGTTGAAAAGATATTAGACTTAACTCTACAAACTGGTAGCAGCAGGACTGGAACAAGACTTGGAAGATACAAGATTGATTTCAGCATGAGAAAAGAAAAGCCTGTCTAGCAATTAGAGTTTTCTGGCAATGGAATAAGCTTCCCTGGGAGAATGAGCTTACTGACGTGATAGATGCTGGTCCAGGCAGGGAGGAGGGTGACTTAGGAATATTATAGGGGTATTTTTAGGTATCAGATGAAGAGTTAGGCTTTTTTTCCCTTTCTTTCTGTTTTTAGTGACTCTTTGCATAATTGTAATGGGTTAGAGAGTCTAAGGGCCCTTTATACTGAAATGCTATGATTATAGGTGTCTTTTACATAAAGCAGGCTAATCTATACATAACAGATTTTCTCTCTTGCTCACTAAATAGCATCTTCAGTATGTAAAAAATTGAAACTACAAACAAATTTAAAAAGTGCGTTTGCTGTAATTCATTTTACTGTAATCAGAGAAATGATTATGCACCCATAGGTTGGATCGAGTTTTTATCTGTAGAATTAGGAAAGGTTTATAGCTAGTTTCCTTTCATTACCTTACTAACATATTTAAGCTAAGTCTGGGTTTGGGAGGACTGGGAAACTCAGTAAGAACATGCATATCACATTTTGAGACATGAGGTCTACATTCATTAGTGATGAATTTCAGTCTCTAAAATTTAAATCCAAATATGAGGAACAGATTTTCTCACATGGAAGAATGCTTTGTAATAAAGATAATAATTTTAGTTTGTCTTAATTGATACTCTTTTTTCCTTTGGTTGTAAACTCCAGGTATACTAAATCACATGGTTTGCTTGTTGAACAAGCTTTACCAAAAGCTAAACTTAAAGAAATTGTGGCAGAATCTGACGTTATGCTCAAGTAAGTTTCTTGGGTGGTTTTTGCTGCTATTGTTCACAGTCTTGAATTATTGCTATATATGTAGTCAGCTGTACTTTTAAAAAATAAGATATTGAATATTACATATGTAAATATATCCAAAATATGCCACCTATCACAAAATACATAGTGGTAAGATAAGGAATTTAGAAGTACATAGATCTTGGTGTAGGTAATAAGAGCCTTATGAGATTTAAATTCTAATTTGTATTTTGTTTCTCCAGATTAAAAATGTCAAGACTTACCAATTTTTGAACCAAGGCCATTTAAAAATTTTTTAGCAAAGTACTTAGGAAGGACATATAATATGAAAGGAATGTATAAATCAAGTTGAAAGGGACTTAAGTATACTTGTTTTGTTTTGTTTTTTGAGACAGGGTCTCTCTCTGTTGCCCAGGTTAGAGTGTAGTGACATAATATCTTCCTCACTCCAACCTCTGCCTCCTGGGCTCAAGCGATCCCCTTGCCTCAGCCTCTCAAGTAGCTGGGACGACAGGCACGTACCACCATGCCTGGCTACTTTTTGTATTTTTTTGTAAAGATGAGATTTCACCATGTTGCCCTGGCTGGTCTTGAACTCTTGGGGTCAAGCGATCCCAAAGTGCTGGGATTACATGTGTGAGCCACCATGCCTGGCAGTATACTATGTCTAAATTTTCATGAGCCTACTTTTTAAATTCTCAAACTTCTTTGAAAACTATTCCTAGGAAAGATTAGTATGTTTTAGTACATAATTATGTATGTATGCATGAGTTATAAGATACAAGAGGCTTTTTAATACTGTTCATTACCTCCTAAAATTGTCAATTCATTAGGCAAACATGATGATACTTTTTTTATGATGATGTTATCTTTTAAGGTGATTACTTCTAAAAAGGAAAGCAATAAATTGTCAGAAAAAGTGTGAGGACTGCTAGTAAGTGTTTCATTCCTTAGTAGGCAGGAACAGCATTATTTAACCTATACCCAGGAAGAGTAAGAAAGGGAAGAGGGCTGGCCAGGCGCGGTGGCTCACGCTAATCCCAGCACTCTGGGAGGCCGAGGCGGGCGGATCACAAGGTCAGGAGATTGAGACCATCCTGGCTAACACGATGAAACCCCGTCTCTACTAAAAAATACAAAAAATTAGCCGGGCGTGGTGGCAGGCACCTGTAGTCCCAGCTACTCGGACGGTTGAGGCCGGAGAATGGCATGAACCCGGGAGGCGGAGCTTGCAGTGAGCTGAGATCATTCCACTGCACTCCAGCCTGGGAGACACTGAGATTCCATCTCAAAAAATAAAAATAAAAAATAAAGGGAAGAGGGCTGAAGAACTTAGTAAAGAGACATGCCAGATGTCAAGAATACAGCTAAGTTCCTGCCACTCTGCTTTTCCTTTCAATTTTATGGATTTTGATGAAACTGTAAGAATATCAAGTCATTCTTCACAATTTTAAAATCTGAAAATATTTTAATCATGTAAATGTATTTTTTGTTAGTTAATATGTATCCATTAAGTTAGGCCAAGTTGATAGGCCCACTATGGGACTCCATCCTTCTCAGTGTTAATATATCCATATTTTAACCCCTAAGTGGGATTTTCAAGGTGTGGCTTAACTATTGTTTTCTCTTTTTAAATTTAATTTTAGAGACAGGGTCTCGCTATGTTGCCCAGACTGGACTAGAACTCCCGGGCTCAAGCAATCCTCAAGCCTCAACCTCCCAAGTAGCTGGGACTATAAGCATCCACTGCTATGCCTACCTGTTTCTTTTTAAATGGTATAAGTTGTGAACTGTAGGTTTATATTCATATTCATTGAAAGCTTAAGGACATCTAGTTTGTAGTATTAAGATTGATTAAAGGGAAGGTAAAGAGTTAACCATTGTTTGAAAAACTTACAGTATTGTAGATATAAATAACAGCCCTCTTGGGCAGTATTTTGAAATGAGAATATGAGTGAGCCATAGAATTACTAGGAATATTTCACTTTTTTAGCTTCTAAGTGAAAAGGAACTATATCTTGCTCTTTAACAATCAGTTTGTTATCTCCATCTTGCAGGGAAGGATATGAGAATTTCTTTGATAAGCTCCAACAACATAGTATACCCGTGTTCATATTTTCGGCTGGAATCGGCGATGTATTAGAGGAGGTTATTCGTCAAGCTGGTGTTTATCATCCAAATGTCAAAGTTGTGTCCAATTTTATGGATTTCGATGAAACTGTAAGAATATGAAATCATTCTTCATAATTTTAAAATCTGAAAATATTTTAATCATGTGCAGTATGTGTTGTTACTTAATATATATCCAGTAAGTTAGGCCAAGTTGATAGGCCCGCTGTGGGACTCCATCCTTCTCAATGTTAATATATCCATATTTTAAAAACAATGTGCCTTTCTTAAACTTTCATTCCTCAAGCTATAGACTAATAATAAAAATAGTAAAACAACTTCTTCTTTTTTTTTTGTTTGAAATGGAGTCTCACTCTGTTGCCCAGGCTGGAGTGCAGTAGCATGATCTCAGCCAATTGCAACCTCTGCCTCCTGGGTTCAAGCAATTCTTCTGCCTCAACCTCTCGAGTAGCTGGGATTACAAGCGTGTGCCACCACACCCGGCTACTTTTTGTATTTTTGGTAGAGATAGGGTTTCACCATGTTGGCCAAGTTGGTCTCAAATTCCTGACCACAAGTGATCCACCCCCCTTGGCCTCCCAAAGTGCTGGGAGTACAGGCATGAGCCACCACACATAGCCTAAAACTTCCTTTAAATTGTTTTAATGCAGCAACTTTGAAGCCTTAACATTCATAGTTGGAAAAAAAGAAGTTTGAACTGAAATTATTTGAATAGGGTTTTCTAATCAAGACAGTATATTATGAAATACATAAACTAACATAAAATAGGATCTTTTGGTTAGAAACAAAATAAAAACTGAAAATTGAATTTTGAACTCATTTTGTTTTACCTTTTTTTTCTTTTGAGATGGAGTCTTGCTCTGTAGTCCAGGCTAGAGTGCAGTGGCGTGATCTCAGCTCACTGCAACCTCCACCTCCGGGGTTCAAGCAGTTCTCCCTACCTGAGCCTCCCGAGTGGCTGGGATTACAGGTGTGTGCCACCACGCTGAGCTAATTTTTGTTTTCTTAATAGAGACGGGGTTTCACCATGTTGGTCAGGATGGTCTCAATCTCTTGACTTCATGATCTGCCTACCTCGGTCTCCCGAAGTGCTGGAATTACAGGCATGAGCCACTGTGCCCAGCCTTCTTTTTTTTTTTTTTTTTCCAGACAGAGTCTCACTCTGTCACCCAGGCTGGAGTGCAGTGGTGCCATCTTGGCTCACTGCACCCTCCGCCTCCCGGGTTCAGGTGGTTCTCCTTCCTCAGCCTCCCGAGTATCTGGGACTACAGGTGTGTGCCACCACACCTGGCTAATTTTTATATTTTAGTGAGGCGGGGTTTCACTGTATTGGCCAGTCTGGTCTCGAACTCCTGACCTCCAGTGATCTGTCCTCCTTGGCCTCCCAAAGTGCTGGGATTACAGGCGTGAGCCACTGCGCCCGGCCTTTGTTTTACCGTTTAAAATAGTCTCTAAAAAATCATTTACTTCTCCAAGCCCTTCTTAGCTATGGTGAATGTGATGGACTTAAGTGCTTTGAGATCTTTAGTATCAAAGATGCATTTACAAATATGATTAAATAATAGTGACATCAATTAAGAGCTCCAAAATATGAAAATCCAACAAATAGAATTTTTAAAGCCTGTTATTTCAAAAGATTTATATTTTTCATAGGGGGTGCTTAAAGGATTTAAAGGAGAACTAATTCATGTATTTAACAAACATGATGGTGCCTTGAGGAATACAGAATATTTCAATCAACTCAAAGACAATAGTAACATAATTCTTCTGGGAGATTCCCAAGGAGACTTAAGAATGGCAGATGGAGTAGCCAATGTTGAGCACATTCTGAAAATTGGATATCTAAATGATAGAGTAAGTATACAAATCTGTGATTTAATTTTCTTCCAAGAAAAAATTAGGATGAAACTTGGTAGGCAATTGTTGCCATAGTCACCTGAGAAAGTAGTTATTTGAGAGACCTTTTTTTTTTTTTTTTTTTTTTTTTTGAGACAAGCCTCTGTTACCGAGGCTAGAGTGTAGTGATGCAATCACATCTCACTACAGCCTCAACCTTCCCGGCTCAAGCATTCCTCCCACCTCAGCCCCTCAAGTAGCAGGAACTACAGGCACACACCAGTACACCTGCCTGATTTTTTAATTTTTTTGTAGAGATGAGGTCTCCCTATGTTGCCCAAGCTGGTCTCAAACTCCTGGGCTCAAGTGATCCACCAGGCCTCTCAAAGTGTTGGGATAACAGGCGTGAGCCACTATGCCCAGCCAAAACATAGTTTTGATCATGCATTTTGATTGTTCTTTATACTGGTGATATTTAAAGGAGTTGAGATGCATGCTATAGGTACTGAGAAAAGGGAGGATGTGTATTCTGTAGGAGGCCTCTGTGTCTTCTACCCACTAGATGCTGGATAGCAGTCCCCTGCCATGAGACTCAAAAATATCCCTAGATGTTAGTAAATGTTCCCTGGAGAAAATCACCCCATTTGAAAACCACTGGACTGGAGAGAGAGCATTTTGGGGAGAAAAGCTACCATGTGGAAACATGTCTGTCAGTGGGTCTTAAGAGTTTGAAATATTTCTTCATTTCAAAGATTTTTTGAAAGTGAATTAAATTTTTTGCATTTTGCCCAAGAGGTCTAACGATGAGATTCATACTGAAATTACTTGCTTCTTCGCCCTGCATGTTAATTTTCTTTTGTTCTTTTCTTGATTAGGTGGATGAGCTTTTAGAAAAGTACATGAACTCTTATGATATTGTTTTAGTACAAGATGAATCATTAGAAGTAGCCAACTCTATTTTACAGAAGATTCTATAAACAAGCATTCTCCAAGAAGACCTCTCTCCTGTGGGTGCAATTGAACTGTTCATCTGTTCATCTTGCTGAGAGACTTATTTATAATATATCCTTACTCTTGAAGTGTTCCCTTTGTATAACTGAAATATTTTCAGACATGGTGAATGCATCAACTGGAAGCTCCTTTTTCTCCACCTCTCTCAACACACTCCTCACCTTATCTTTTAACACATTTAAAAAAAAAAATCTTAAAGCCAAAATTAGAAAAGTAACTCCCTACTTTTCCAAAGTGAATTTTGTAGTTTAATGTTATCATGCAGTTTTTGAGGAGTCTTTTACACTGGGAAAGTTTGTAGAACTTTTAAAATAAGTTTTATGAAATGGTGAAATAATATGCATGATTTTAAGTATTGCCATTTTTGTAATTTGGGTTATTATGCTGATGGTATCACCATCTCTTGAAATTGTGTTAGGTTTGGTTATTTTGGGGAAAACATATTTACCGGAAAAGAGTAGCACTTACTGTTGGAAAAAACTGGTGGTGTTTACCACGTCGCTAATCATTACAAAACATTCTGTATTGAAGCACTGATAATAAATATGAAATGAAAGGCCTTTTTAATTCTATGGTCAAAACTATCTTTATTGAGTCAAATACTTATTGAGCACCTACCATGGTGTCTTGTTTTTTTGTTTCTTTCTCTGCATCTGCCTGTCTTTTGAGATATATGAATTCTAAAATCCTTGTCATAGTGGCTATTTAGATTGAATTATTTTCAAAAATTATTAAGTCTAAAGATATTTGCAGGGAAAATTTTATCTGCCCTTCAGAAAATACTGAGACCTCTGAAAATTATTTTCTCCCATTGAAAACATCAGTAAAAGGTACAAGTCTGCAAGTTTCAGAAAGAACCCGAGGCAGGAAGCAGTGGACCTGGGTCTCGTGGTGACTGAATCTGAGCAGCACTGCAACATTAGGAACCAGCATCTCTCTGTACAGTCCAGCTACCCACTCCACATCTCTGACTCTGCCTCATCATTCATCTTCAGCATTTAGACCTGCCATTGTGATAAATTTGACCCTGACTCTTACCCTTAATTCCAGATCCTATGGACACCTAATTGGTTTGCTTATAGCACCTAAGCTACAATATACACAAAGCATGATCTGATTCGTTCTGGCCATCCAGTGTGAGCAGCAGTCTCTAGTTCAGTCAGGTGTGGCTGGAAGACAAGGTCACATGTTAGAAAACCTTTTTGTCCTCAGAATGCCCATCCTTATCCTCCACCACTCCTCCTTTTCATCATCATAAACAATGAAGCCGGCCAGGAGCAGAAGCTTACACCTGTAATCCCAGCACTTTGGGAGGCCAAGGCAAGTGGATCGCTTGAGCCTAGGAGTTTGAGACCACCCTGGGTAACACAGGGAGACCCCCATCTCTGCAAAAAATTAGCCAGGCATGGTGGTGTGCCTGTAGTTCCAGCTACTCAGGAGGCTGAGGCGGGATGATCACCTGAGCCTGGGGAGGTTGAGGCTGCAGTGAGCTGTGATCGTGCCACTGCACTCCAGGCTGGTCAACAGAGCAAGAACCTACCTCAAAACAGCATAAAAATAGTGAGGCCAGGTGCAGTGGCTCATATCTGTAATCCCAGCATTTTGGGAGGCCGAGGCGGGCAGATGACTTGAGCTCAGGAGTTCAAGACCAGCCTGGGCAACATGGCAGGACTCAGTCTCTACTAAAAATACAAAAAACTAGCCAGGCATAGTAGTGCGCACCTGTGGTTCCAGCTACTCAGGAGGCTAAGGTAGGAGGATTGCTGGAGCCCGGGGGGCCAATGCTTGCAGTGAGCTGAGATCATGCCCCTGCACGCCAGCCTGGGTGACAGAGCAAGACCTGGTCTTAATAAATAAATAAACAATGAAACAAAAATGCAATGGCAACAGGCAGACTAGATCCTGCCTAAGTGTTTCTGAAATCAAACTGAAAAATAACTTCCTGCATTAAAGCAGATAGCATGGCATGGGAGTATCAGAATTACCTGCAGGACTTTTGCACATAGGAAAAACAGTTGGTGATTCAACGATAACTCTTTACCCCTGTATTGCAATCAGAGCTTATATTGGCTATTTCCAAAAGGTGTTTATAATATGCTTCCATGAATAAGTATATTGCATTTTGTAAATCTAAGGAACACTGAAGTCATGACCTACATTCTGGTCATGGCTCAGCCCCTTACTAAGACTCCAGGTTCAGTCACCTCCCTATACAATGAATGCCATAAGAACATGCACTCTCTAAGGCCCCTTCTAGCCAATTTCATAAATTGAGTCTCATGCTTCTCCCATTATGTTTATTAACCTATCACATCTCACTGCCACCTGATGCTACTGAAATTTAAAATATTTGTATTTGAGTTCAGTTTTCAGACCAGTTTAGCCATTAGGAATGTGACCAGGACAGATTATTGAGCCTGTGTCCCAGTTTGCTCATCTGTTAAGTGAAGATGGTGCTATAGCTTCTTGATTCATAAGGAATAGATATGCTCACCTTTTATGTATACATTTGAAACTTACGTATGCATTTAAAACAGCACAGGTATTCAATATTGTTAGGTAGAATCCGTCCACAAATGTATAAGCTGTTGTATCCCCCAGTGTAGCATTTGGTTGAATCAATGAAATGGAATGATCTTTTGCAGCCCCGGCAAATATTGGTAGTGTATGGTGACTACCACATTCTCTAATGAGGCTAGCATTAGCCAATGGTTTTATTCAACTTTAAATTTTACTTTATGAAATAAAGCAATTTTGAGGGCTAGAGCAAACACTTTTGACAAAACTGGAAAAAATGAAAACAACCATCAGTCATACTAGCTCGTTCCGGAGTGATTTCACAAGAAATCTACCTTCCATGGTCTATTTAACAGTCACCCAAATTTTGGTAGATGACCGAAAGTCTGTTTAACCGGCCTTCAGGTTCAGTTTTCTCTTTAATATACCCTAGGGAAAATCAGCAAGGAAAAGATCAATGTAATCTTGAATGACTAATCCTGAAACTTCTCCAGAGTTACCCAGAGAGTTAACAGTCATGCTGCTCTTTGTGCTTAGTCTGGTGTTTCAGTACCAGTTTAACAGATAAAAAGTGATCAAGGTGCACAGCTTTGAAGTAGTCAGACCTAGATCTGAATCTGTGATTCTGTCATCTGGAATAAGTTTCTAACTTCTCCAAGCCTTAGTTTTTTCATCTGTAAAGGGGAGTATTAACTAGAGATGAGGATTAAATGAAAAGTCACTTACTCAAGTCTCTATGTTGTGCTGAGTTCTAGGGAAACAATAGTTAACAAATCAGGACTGGACGTGGTGGCTCATGCCTGTAAAATCCCAGCACTTTGGGAGGCCGAGGCGGGCGGATCACCTGAGGTCGGGAGTTCGAGACCAGCCTGACCAACATGGAGAAACCCGGTCTCTACTAAAAATACTAAAATTAGCTGGGCATGGTGGTGCACACCTGTAATCCCAGCTACTCGGGAGGCTAAGGCAGGATAATCACTTGCACCCGGGAGGTGGAGGTTGCAGTAAGCTGAGATTACGCCTTTGCACTCCAGCCTGGGCAACAAGAGTTGCCTCCGTCCCCTCTGCCCCCACAAAAAAAAAATCAGACATGCTTCCTGCCCTCATGTAGTTTCCATTCCTAGTAGATCAAACAGGAGGAAAGAGTAGCAATTATGAATATGGTAAATAGCTATGAAGAAAACACAAATGACAGACCTATTTTATTTATTATTATTATTATTACATATATTTTTTGAGATGGAGTCTCACTCTGTCACCCAGGCTGGAGTGCAGTGGTGTGGATCTCAGCTCACTGCAAGCTTCACGCCATTCTCCTGCCTCAGCCTCCCGAGTAGCTGGGACTACAGGTGCCCGCCACCACGCCAGGGTAATTTTTTGTATTTTTAGTAGAGACGGGATTTCACCGTGTTAGCCAGGATGGTCTCGATCTCCTGACCTCGTGACCTGCCCGCCTCAGCCTCTCAAAGTGTTGGGATTATAGGCGTGAGCCATCACGCCCAGCCAACAGAGACCTATCTTAGATATAGTGGTCAGAAGCAGCTTTTCTCAGGTGATACTTAGGCCAAAGTCAGAAGGATAAGGAGCTAGTCATGTGAGGAGTTGAGGGAGAAGCATTCCCAGGAGAGGGAACAGGGTGTGTGAAGGTCCTAAGTGAGAAAGTTTTAGGGCATTTGAAGAACTGAGAGCTGGTTTAACAGTATTATGAACAAAGGGAAGAATGGCATCAGGTGTTGAACGGGAAGTAGGTGGGTGCCAGATCATGGAGGGCTTTATAAATCATAAGAACTCTGGTTTTTCTCTCCTTGCAAAGGAGAGGCAGGATCACTGATGCCATGTGGGGAAGGGACTAGTGAGGGCAGATAAACCCAAGCACACCAGTTGGGGGGCTATTACAGCTGTTCCAGTTAGAAATAATGGTCGGTTTTGGGGGCTGGGGCTGTGGAACAGGAGAGAAGTGGGTCATTTCCAGGAGTAGCTTAGAGACAGAATTGACAAAACTTGCTGTTGGCTTAAACATGTAAAATCAGAGAGCAGGGGGTCGCTGATGTCTGCTTTGGACACATGGGTGCCAGGGAAGATGGAGAGGAATAGGCTTGGTGGTGTTGGGAAGGGAGTGGGAACAGACATGCTATTTTGGACATACAAAATTTGACATGTGAGACATACAAGAGAAGATACCAAATAGACAGACTAGAGCTCAAAGGAGAAATCTGAGCAGGAACTATAAATGTGGGTGTTGTCTGCATTTAAATGAGATTTAAATATGGCCAGTGTCAGCTGGAAGAAATTGCCTGACCAATCAAAATTCCAACATTAAGCGTGGAAACCACACACAAACTATTAATAAGCAGAAATGTTTTATATCTGCATCTAGCAAGAAATAATTGGAAACAGTACTATTTTGTTTTTTGAGACGCAGGGTCTCCCTCTGCCCAGGCTGGAGTGCAGTGGCACTATCAGGGCTTACTGCAGCCTTGAGCTCCCAGCCTCGAGTGATCCACCTCAACCTCCCGAGTAGACCGCAGGTGTGCACCACCACGCCTGGCTACTTTTTGAAATTTCTGTTAGAGATAAGCTCTCTCTGTGCTGCCCTGGATTGTCTCAAACTCCTGGGCCCAAGCGATCCTCCCACCTTGGCCTCCCAAAGTGGTGAGATGACAGGTGTGAGTCACTGCACCCGGCCCAGTATTCTTATTAAGTAAAAACTCCAGATCCCTGAGAGAGTGAAGGGGAAAAGGCTTCAAAAAAAGCAACTTTGTCCCTGGAAACCTGAGATAGTAAAGTAACAGATGGGGGCAGGGACCAGTGTTTATGTATAGTCTTGCAGTTAAATCTATTTCCCTGCCAAAATGAATTTTTTTCCTATCTTTTAAGTATTTGGACAAAATTATAAAGTCATAAATAATCAGAGATCAAAACTCACTGGTTTTAACAAAATGGTGCCTACTGCTTATATTTGCAGGCGGCCTAATTGTGTCAAACATATTCAGATGTCATGTTCATGTTCTAGACTCTCATCCCACAGTAGGTATCAGTGACCCAGTTCA